TTCTGTAGTGATACTGCCTCGGAAACCCAAGGAGAGGTCGCTATGAGTCGGGTCCAACTCAACGGCACATAACAACAACAACGTATGAATGTATTAGTGTTCAGCTCAACTGGCTTGCAGCTGTATATTTAGTGCATACCTTGCCTTTCCTTGTCCATTGAATTTCTTAAGGTCCATGACTCACTGAGTTCCATGTAAATACACCCTGTTCATGGCCCTGATGACATGGCTATCACTGGCCTCCCTTTGTCCTTCGATCTTACCACCACAAATGCTTCAGAAATAGTTCTATGTCTGGGGTTTCTTGAGAGCCACTAGGCAGTACAAACACTATAGAAAAAGCTCAAGAGGATGTTGGTGGAAGTAGTGTAATTATGGAGTAATGGAAAGGATCCCGCCAGCAGTCATACCGTGCATCCATCTGCCTCGCATGGCTATGTTACGGATTAAACAAAGTGTACTACTTACAGAAACTAAGTGACCTTCAACAACAAAGTGCCTGGGTTTCCTCCTAGATATCCTGAAACACCTGCTCTTTCCTCCCTCAGGGGCCAGGGAACTCTAGCTATAGGAGCTTTATGCTGAGGGCACCAGATTCATTGGCTGAAACCTAGGCAGTGAAGTCCTGCTGCTAGATCACTCCTTCCCATGCTCTGACTTAGGCTCATACAGTCCATCAGTGCTCTTTCCCTTTCAGGACTGAGCCAGGATCCTTTGCTCTTACATCCTACTGGAATACTAGTATTCTTTCTCTGAGAGAGAAAAAGAGAAGGATTGGCTGGCTCTACATGCTGCTTCCTTTTTAAATTATGTGTTCAACACAGTTTGTTTCTCTCTGGATTATTGAGCAGTGTGTTCTCTTTTCCTGTGCCTCCAGATGTCCCAGTTTATCGTCCAGTGCCTGAACCCTTACCGGAAACCTGACTGCAAAGTGGGAAGAATTACCACAACTGAAGACTTCAAACACCTAGCTCGCAAGGTACTCTCTCAGCCTCTGCTCTGTTAGTGTTCTGGGCTTCATCTTTGACGAAGGCCGCTTTCATCAAAGAAAGTGTAGTTTTCCTTGCTAGTGCCAGGGCTCAGAACCCTGGAAATGGGAGGGAAGGTGGAAGGAGCACCTGTCATTCAAAAGTAGAAGTTCTCAAAAATTTCCAAAGCTATGAGTGTCTCCTTTCTGATAATACAAGCAGCAGTCTGTCCCCACCTACCCTTTATTCAAGTCCGTGTCTGGTGTGAAGGGCCTTAGGGCAGTATAGTAGGCTGGGTTACCATCCCAGCCCCAGGTGCCCCCACAGCCCCCGCATATTATTTCTACTCTGATTGGTGACTAGTCTCTCTTCCTGTGCCTGGACAGCTGACTCATGGCGTTATGAATAAGGAGCTGAAGTACTGTAAGAATCCTGAGGACCTGGAGTGCAATGAGAATGTGAAACACAAAACCAAGGAGTACATTAAGAAGTACATGCAGAAGTTTGGGGCTGTTTACAAACCCAAAGAGGACACTGAATTGGAGTGAATAATGGGGCAAGGGTGTGAAGGCAGCATGGGACAGACTCTAGGGAGAAGAAATCCTGTGGGCCCTCTCTGCCCTACCCACTGTCAGGGCTTGTGCTACTGATGACACGTCACCCTGGGGAATTTCAAACCCTGCGGATTTCAGCTGAAAGCCACAAAAATGAATTCCAATCTACAAGTGATCCCTAGTTGTGAGCTGCTGGGGGTGCAGTTAGAAGCCATCCAGAAGCAAGGGTTTAGGGAAGACCCCTCCCTCTGAGACCCTAGCCCAGGCCTGACCCCCACTCTCAAACCTGGGTCTCCTCCTCGGCGGTGCTGTCAGCGCACAGACCCATGCGCATCCCTCCCACAACCCCCTTACTCTGACGATCTGTATTATATTTTAATGTATATGTGAATATATTGAAAATAATTTGTTTTTTTTTCCTGGGTTTTGTTTGGTTTTTGTTTTGCTTTTAGCTTCTACGTGCTAGCATCAGAAGACGACTTTGTAAGGATGGTTTAAGTTCTCCTGCAAGGTTTAATTTGTTATCATGTAAATATTCCAAAGCAGGCTGCCTTGTGGTTTTGGCCAGCCTTGTGCTATGTTGATAAGATTGATTTACTGCTTAAAATCACTTTACTTTATCCAATTTTTACTGAACTTTTTATGTAAAAAATAAAATCAATTAAAGAACTTGGCATGTGTTTTCCTTAAAAGTTAATCAGCTGTGATATGAGTGTAAGTGGGTTAGGGAAGAGTTGGTATGCTCATACATAAGCATGCTTGTTGTATAGTGGTATCATTGGAGAGAAAAGGGACACACGGTGGCTTTAGGTGTGTGGCACCTAAACTTCAAATCCAAGATTAATCCTTGAGATTAGTTTATCACAGTCCTTGTTCCTCATAGGTCCCCCTGTGACTGACACTTGTGGGCTTGGGATTTTGTGGCTGTGCTCAAGGATGGGGTCTACTTGGACAGACTACAGAGCAAAGGAAAGCACCTTGAGGTCTCCCAGGTGCTGGGCTTCTTCATAGTGGTTAACAGGTCAGTCAAGAGAAAAGTAAACGGGTTTCCCCCTCAAGCCTTCTGGCTGGAGAGAGCCATTGAGCTTCTTCCTTTCAGAGGCTCCCCAAACCTACCAGAATGCTGCTTTGATGTTTGGTTTCCTCTGGAACCCAAGATAGGACTCCTATAAAGGGTTACAGCACAGGAGAGGCCAGCGTGGACAATTTGCTGGAGACTGCAGTGCTAGGTGGAGGCCTCCCCTCTCCCCCATGGGCCAGTTGTCTGAGCAGTGAGGAGGCCTAAGGGCTTCAGGCCAGACTGGGGCCCTTCTTTGTAAAAAGTCTGATCCCCCCTGTTGCTCACAAGGGCCAATGCCTTTGGGAAAGAGGCAAGCAAGCCCAGGCTGTGATTTGCCAAAACTGCCTGAGGGGATAGTACTTAGAACACTGCCTGCCTGATAGCACTGTGCTGAGCTGAAGGAAGGTTGGGTAATCTACTTCCATAATGATACTGCCTCAGAAACCAAAGGGAAGGGTCGCTGAGTAGATCGATCGGACTCGATGGCAGTGAGTTTGGTTTGTTTTGAGCATTTGAGGTTTAGGATTGAGCTCATTTGATCCTCACAACCCTAAGGCACGGGAACTGGCACTGCTTAAATGAAAAGTTCAGTAACTCATCCACCGTCTTTGTTTTAAAGGGACTGTTAAAAGACTCCCTATTTTTGACATCAGGATCATCAGACATGCTACTTAAAAACCTGAAATATTTTCCCATGATACTGCAGTCTTCAAAATGTAACAGAAGCATATTATTAAATATCAAATGAATGAATCATAATTGACTTAACCCTCTGACGTTTCTCAGTTGTGTCTGTTGCAGAGAATGTCTGAATGTGCTTAAACCTCCCTTTTGGTTGGGACTGCACTAGAGGGGTGCAAGTCACATGTACTGGCACTCAAACTCATGGTTGACTTGAAGTTTTTGCTTTCAGATTTTCCAAGAATACTAAAGTCATTAAAAGGTGGTGATGAGGGAGCTAAGAAGGCAGGACAAAGTTTTTTCCTTTTCCCCTACCCACTGACACCCTTAGGTTCAAATCCCCCAGGTGGTGATAAGGGGTACCAGTTAATCTGGAAACTCTTTCCAGTTCTTGATGCAGAATTTCAGTTCACATTCATTGCTGGCCCAATCCTCAGTAGCTTTGCGGCCACCATCCTTGCTTTCCCTCCTGATCATCAGGGTTATTGTCCAAGGGTCATCTCAGAATGAAGGTATCTATTCTTGTCTTTATTTGAAGGACAGTTTATAGGGTTAAGCAACCCTAGTGAACTGTTTTTGAGAATAATAGAACTAATATCCTGTGATGACTTTGGTACTCAGAAAACAGCCAATTGCAACTCACTGCAGCAAGGGGAAAGGATTTGTCCTGGGGTTCTAAGTGAATCACTGGGCAACAACTAGATCTCCCACCTGCTCAGGAAGTGGCTGTACTTTTTGAATCCTCTGATAGATACCAGGGACTCCATAGCCATTGTTTCTTCATAGGCAGGGTCTGTCTGCTCTCATGCCCCCCTCAGCACAGTAGTCAGTCTACCTGGCTCCTGCCTTCAGGGTGGGCATGTGTGGAGTACAGATGGCTTGGCTGCAGTTGCCCTGTCGTGACCTGCCTTTCAGGTGTGTGAGACACCCCACCCACTCATCCTTGGCTTGTATGGAGTCCACATAAGCAGTTGTGAAGTGTGTTTGTAACTCTCGCCAGAGCCTGGAGTGGGGGTGTTGTAAGGAAAACTCTTTTTCTCATCCAGCGGCCCTTGGTATCTAGCTTGCCAGGACCAGCCTGCCTCCAGCCTTGCCTTGATGCTGGTCACAGCATGCGTCAGGAAAATGATCTCAAGTCCAGGGCTCCTCAGTACCAACCTGGGAGTCTTAGGGCTAGCGGAGCCCACTGAACACACCATTTTTTTGTTGCCAGCTAAGGAAGCTGAAGCTCAGAAAGGCGAACAGCTTCCAAACATGATAAAACCAATGAATGACAGGCCCAGGACATGACTCCAGACTGTGCTTTTGTCAAAGCCCAAGAGTCTTATGGGAGGATGCTGTCTGCCACCCTAGGGCCCCAGCCCTTTTCTGGGCCTCTGCCTAATACCCTCAATTGCCTCACAGGCCCAAGGAACTAGATGGAGCCAGCACCAAAGTCCAAAGCCTCATTTAATACAGGATACAAAAGTAGCAAAAACAGCTTAGGTTAAAGAGGGGAACAAACAGGAAGGTAGGACCACCCCCTCACTACCTACTCCCTCTAATCCTGGTCCCTGTCCCAGAGAAGGATAGAACAAGGGAAGATGAGTAGTTGCCAGATCTTTTGTGTTTCTGGGGAGCACAGCAGGCTGACACCCACAGTGCCAGAAAGGCTAAGAAGGGAAGGTTTATGGGGAGTTAGGGGAGGTGGGAGCACTAGAGCAGGTTGCCTGAGAGGCCAGGATGTAGAGGCATAGCTCATACCACAGGACAGCCCTCAGCCAGGGGGCTCAGGACCTGGGCCACATCTTCACGGTCCATGGCAGCCAGGGCATCCTCTAGTACTTGGATGGTGGCTCTGTTGCCTTCCCGGATAGCCCAGTCCCTCAGTAGAGTGTAGGCTGGAGCTTGGCCCTGGGCCAGGGTCTCCACAGCCTCAGCCCTATAGCCCAGACGGCCAGCCAGGCCCTGCCAACCCTTATCGGGTTCACCCTGCACCTCCAGGAGCCGCTCCACTTCCTCTTGCTGCTGCCGAGGGAGATGAAGGTAAAGTCGGCAGCCAAGCTCAGGATTTGACCCTGTGATGTGAGACAGAACATGAGGGTCAGACAAGGGCCTGGGCAGTAGAGCAAGGCTGAGCCACAAAGACTATACTGGGGAAGGACTCACCGTGGCTCAGGATGCAGGGTTCCAGGCCACTTGGAGAGTCCAGGAAGATACTGCTGTCCTCACGCACCTGGTCCCTGTCAAGGGCCCCCAGCTCTGCAGTCCGAGCCTTAGCCAACTGCTGTCTTTGCTTATGTGAACGCCAGCTGTAGGGAGCAGGGGTACCTGCCAGCCTGGTTCCACCTTCTCCAAGACAGGAGGAGCTGGCTGGGAGTCCAGACAAGGAAGGGGGTGCCACAGGGCGGTGCCCAGACCACCTACCACTTGAAAGCCACGTAGGCCAGCAGACCCAGGACCACAGCAGCCAGGAGGGCACAATAGACTGGGATGATGCTGCTTGAGGCCCCTGGAGGCTCAGGGGGGAATGGGGAAGAGGTATTGGGGGTCAGGGCTCCCCCTGCCCCCACCCACACCCCTTCCCTGTCCTGCCCCATCAGGATCTTCTCTGTGGAGGAAAAGGACAGACAATGTCAGGGGCAAGAAACCAAGCCTAGGATTTCTGATCCACTTCACATAGGCCCTGCTGCCTAAGATTTGAAAACAGTAGTCTTCACTGCATAGAGTCAAAAGGTCATAACTGAAGAAGCAAGTTGACTGGCCCATTTTCCCACCCTCATCTCCTACAGCCTCCCCTTGCTTATCACTCTGGACACCTCGCACTTCCCAGATGTGTCCAGCTTTCCTATGCTGCTTTTGCTGTTCTACCTTTTCCATCTGATAAATGGACAGAAATCCCCTTCTCTGGGAAGCCTTTCTTGATCTCCCAGATCTCTCCATTTCCTGACTCCCAATGCACCTCTTTTATCTTCCATGGAAAACTGCATTACCTTTTATGACCTAGGGTCCCTGGGTGGCACAGTTTGTGTTTAACTACTAACCGAAAGGTTGGCAGTTCAGACCCACTCAGTGGCACAACGGAAGACAGGCTTGGCAATCTGCTTCCATAAAGATTGCAGCCAACATTGACCCAGGTCACTTTAGTTTTGTGTATTTCACTGTACATAAATTGTTGTTGTTGTTGTTATGTGCTATCGAGTCGGCCCCGACATAAATTATATTTCAATAAATGTATTTTTAAAAAAGATTACAGCCAAGAAAACTTAGTTCTACTAAGTAACACATGGGTCACCATGACACGGGCACGACTCAACAGCATTGGGTTTGGCTTTTGGTACCACTGTACTAAACTATGTGTCCTATCTCCTACTAGGTCTGGGCTGTGAGAGCCTATTGATTCATGTTAGTACCTAGGGATCTGCGCACAGACCTTATAAATGTCTGCAAAGTAAAACAACTAGAAGTAAATGCTATTTTTTTTCTGCCTGGGAGGCAGCTGTCCTCCCAACCTAGTACAAACAGGGCACAAGGAATGGGAACTCGAGAGCCTGTGACTGGGCTTGTATGTGACCCATCCAGCTGAGGTACCTTCCAGCCTGCCTAGTGCCTAAGATGTGGATTGAGAGGTGCTTACCTATATGGGCCATGTCCTCCCTGTGGCTGGAGTTGTGAAGCATGGCTCTGCTGCCAGGCAGGGACCTCTGGAACTACATCTTTAAAAGGGGTTGGAGTGCCATGTGCAGAGCCCCGACAAGGGAGCTGAAAGGCTTCTGAGTCCAGATGACCAGGGGGGGAAAGCTCAGGCCTGACATCATAAATTCCTTGCGTAGTTTGCCTTCCTGCCCTGCCACATCACTCCATCCTGATTCACTCTGGAGCTGGTACTCCTCCTCCTCCCATCTGGACCCGTTTCCTTTGTCAGATGGGGCGAAGGTCAGATCCCTGACAGAGCTGACCTCCAGGTGGTCAAAGCCAGAAGGACCAGGGTGCAGCCCAGGATGGAGGTTAAAAACCACCATGTCTTAAAGACTTTAGCAACACCTGGTGTGAGTCCAAGGATGGCAGAGGAGGACCAGGAAGACATTTCCTCCAGCTCCACCTCAGCCAGAGTCCAGCCAAAGAGACGGGCAGAGAGACTGGCCGGTGGAAGGCTCACTCCCAGGCTTCTCCACATTAACCCAGGAACCCAACACCTAAGGCCCCAAGGCAGCACTTCCTGAAGTGACAGTGCTCTCACCCCTGCTTCCAGGGTCAGTGTCCAGCCCTTACCTCCTGCTCAGAGGCTGACAGGGAAGGGTACCTTGGTGTGTTCACCAAGGGCAGAGGAGATGCCAGAGGGCCCCTAGTCCTGTCTTACCTGGTATTGCAAGAGGACCTGGAGGTTGGAAACCTGAAAGATAGGGTCACTCATCTGAGTACCCATGAGGACCTGCAAAGTCAAACCTGCTGGCACCCACCTCCTGAGGCCTGAGGAAGAGGGGCCCCAGGTTTGGGTGAGAGGGTATCTGCATAAAGAAGGGACAGAGAAGATGACCCAAGGAAAGGCCCTGTAACTCTCCAACATCCACAACTTCACAAACATAGCACAGTCCACTCCAATCTCACTTCCCTATAGGCCCTGTGCCTATTTGTGTGGCTAAGTGCAAGCCACCGATATGGCCAAGTGGCTCTGGGCCAAGGTGTCCCTTGCCCCATGTGAGGTGTGTACGTTTGTATGACCTCCCACATGAGGGGTCCTGGTTGGTGGGCTAGCTTGTGACCTCGCAGCAGCAGCAGCAGCAGACAGGCCTAAGGTTCTCCAGACCCCACTCCGAACTGCAAGATTGGAGCCTTCCCCTATCCCCAGACCCACAAAATATGCATGCACAACGTAACACCCAACAAGTCCAATCTACCCTGACTCCCCACCCACATCCCAAAAAGCGCCAGCCCCATGACACACAATACCCACAGGGCCGCGAGTCTCGAGGTGGGGAACAGAAAGAGCCCTTGGCTCCCTCTGCCCAGCAAGACCCAGAGTTCTGTCCCCTACCCCTTCCTAACCTGAGGCGTCCGCCCCTGCGTGAGTCCCAGAATCTGCTCAGCCTGGCGGGGCTGGGGCGTCTTAGGCCGCTCGGGTCCCCTTGAGCGAGCGCACGGGCGTGAAAGACCGTGCGGAATCCCTATGAAGGCCAGGTTCTGTTCCGCCTCAGACGCGAGCCAGCGACGCAGGGCGGGACTAGGGATCGATGGAAAAGGGGGCAGGAGGCTTGGGGGCGGGAAGGGCACTCTGGGGTTGGAACCAGACCGACGGAGGCGGAGGAGGAAGACCCGCCCCCAGTCTTTACCGTGGGCCTCTTGGGGCTAGGCAGGAGCACCCCCGGCACCCGACCCTGGGTGGCCCCGCCCACACGCCCATACTAGACGGGGTTGGCGGGAACGCATGAATGCCGGGCAGCCGGGACACAGTGAAGGACTGAGGCTGCAAAGAAACTACGAACCGGGAAGAGACGTCGGTGCGCGGGACAGATTAGGTGCGCGGACCAGAGGACCAGGGGCAGTGAGGCTGAGTAAACTGAGGCCCCAAGTCAGCAGATGCCACGCGAGGGGGGCCAGTCGACCCGGGAGGGAGTCGTGGGCTTGGGGAACACGAGCCGGGATGGACCAAAAGGCAGAGACCTCGAGGTAGTGATCACAGAGGCAAAGCAGCTACAAAACTAGGCCGAGTTTATTGCCAAGAATGGAGGAGCCGGGCCGCCTTCAGGAATTAAGGCCACGGCCCGGCCCCAGTGCTTCACCGGGACGGGGGAGTTCGGGAGCGGAGAATCCCCGCCCCAGACTGTGCAAAAAGTGCTGCTTTGGCCTTACGAGGCCAGATGGGATTCAGGGCAACCCCTCTGCCGGCGAGGGACAGGACTTCTGGAGTGACAGTTCCCCCACCAATCCCTGAGCTGGGCGTGAGGGTGGGGCCCCGCCCACCCCCAGAGCACGGGCCAACTGCCGCTAAGTTGCCTCCTCTTTGGCGTTCCCGCCGACTCCTGGGCGGGGCCTCCAGGGGCGGGACCCGCCGGGAGCCGGGCCTGAGCAGCTGGGCTGGGCAGGCCCTCAGCGCGCATCACTAGGGTTGTACTCTGTCTCCCCGGATGACACCTGGGAGATGCGCCGTGAAGACCGCCACAGTTTCCGTGCGAACTGACCACTGCGCACCTGGTGGGAGTGGGAGGGTGTGGAGTCAGCTAGGGCCACCCCATTTCACCCCATGCTAGGCCCATTCTACCCTTATCCTCACCTCAGAGGGCTGTCCCGCGCCCACCACGATAAGCTTGCCATCCTCCAATCCCACAAGCACGTGGCTACGCTCCTTGGTCACAGCCACACTACGGATGGGCACCTTCATAGGCAGGGGAGGCACGGCTGGGAGCAGTCTGGGGGTGGGCAGATAAACAGAAACTCACAAGGGGCCTAGACTTCCAATTGACAATTGTGTCTATTTCCTCCCACATGCCTGAAGAGGAGCCCACCTGTTCCTGGACATTTTAAGGATGGCTAAATTTTAAGGATGGCTAAACTGATCCTGAAGGGCATCTCCCACAGCTGTGTGATAAGGGAGGCCCAGGGCAAGATCTCCACATTGAGGAATGAGGGGACAGGCAACAGGCCTTGAAGACTGTGCCCATGGACATTTAAAGAGTATGTGGGTCAACTGGAGGGGGCGAAGGGTGGTACTCCCTAGTATCCTCTACCAATGACCACCACCCTGAGGGGCCATAAATCCGTAAGTGGTGGGGCTCACTTGTTCAGGTGGAGGATGTGCAAAGTGCATTGGGCTGTGCCCAGCAGAACAAAGTCCTCAGTCACAGCCAGGGCTGTGGGCTGCTCTGCCAGGGGCAGAGAAGCCCGCAGCCTCCCATTCACTGAGTACAGGTACAAGGAGTAGGTGACCTGGAGGAATCAGGTGTCAGCAAGGACAGAATCCCTACCACCCATGTGCCTTTGCTAGGCATCCCCTCCTCGTACCTGGGCCCCTGGACGCTGCCGTGCTGAGCTCTGTACCACAATCTGGCCCTCAGATCCCAGCACCAGGTAGGACACAGGTCCAGGCAGTGTGGAACCTGGGGGACGCAGTGCTGCCACAAACTGACCACGGCGTACAGTGTGGATGATCACAGTTCCATCCTGCAGGAAGGTAGCTTAGGGTGCTAGGCAGGGGCCTCTGAGCTCCAGGGGCAGTGCCCAGCAAACCGCCCTCCCCAGGGCACATTCATATGCACACCTCAGATCCAGACACAGCCATGTCGAGTTCCGTGTTGATGGCCACACAACTTACTGCGGTCTCATGCCCGTATAGCACCTGCAAGGGCTTTGATGCCAGCCCTACTGACAGACCACCCTGTGGGGAGCCGGAGCTGGCTCAGGACTCTGGGCATCCCACCAACCTGGCCCCCAGGAGACAGGCTCAGGAGAGCAAGGCCAGTGCCAGTAAGCTGGAGGGTTATGGAGCTAAAGCCTTGCTCACAATAATGGAGGGAAAGAGAATATGGGGGCAGGATTGGAGGCTCACTAAGGGGCAGATGGGCTGCAGGTCTGGGCTATGGAAACCATCATGGGCTGCCCACCAGGCATACCTGCTGCAGAAGCTGCCACACCATGCATGTGGCATCCCGGGAGCCTGAGATGAGGTAGATGCCACAGGTGTCCAGTGCAAGGCAGGTTACTACATCTGCATGAAGAATGAACAGGCAGAACACAGTAGTCACACACTCTCCCTAGCCACCCTCAATGCCCCACCTGCATGACTCATCCTCACCCACTCCTAGACTGTTTACCAAGGTGACGGTTCAGCTGATTCAATAGCTTGCCACGGGGCAATGCAGTCACTCGAAGGCTGCCATCCCAGTGGCCACCACTGAACAACAGCTTTCCGTCGGGGGCCACTGCCAGTGCTTGCCCACTCACACCACTGTCTGATACCCATGGGCCACTCAGAAGTCGCTGCATCCTGACCCAGGGAAGGGGGATGATAGGTGAGGCCAGGCCATGTAGGAGAGACCCAGGCCCTCAGGGATCTTGGCCAGACCTCTCCCCAGCAACCAGCCTGCAGTTTGATCAGGTAGGGAAATGACCCCTACCCACAGCCCCATGTCCTACTTGGGGCTGCCCATGGTGGGGTCTTTGCTGAAGCTGAAGTAGTTGCTTATGTTGCGGTCATAGGGCAACCAGCTATGGGTGCCCAGCAGCCCATTGGCACTCACGGTCACCTTCAGGGAAGAGCAGGGAGAGGTAAATTACAGACAGAGTCAGGGGAGATACGGAGCTAAGGTGGGGCTCCATCCACTGCACTTACCAACAGGTCTGGAGAGCCTTGGGTGATGAAGGAGTGGGGTTGCCGATGGGGGACCATGGCCAACACCAGGGGTACACCATCACTGACAACCTGTAGAACAGAGTGGAGGGCTGGCTCTGCCAAGTGGCCAGCAGGAACCCTCACTGCACTATCTGCTCCCTGAGGTAGCACCCTTTCCTCTGCCCTCAACCCCCAGGGACCACAGGCTAGGAATCATAGAGGCAGAGTTCCCCCCTGAGAAACTGGCATCTGACAAATGAGAGAGGAGCCAAAACAAGGAAGATCCTTCGGGAGTCTCAAGGTTGGTCCTGTTCCTCTCATCCCATTACTCCATGTCCCCTTAGCCTGCACCAG